AGGGTAAAGGGTGTGAGGGGGCCCATGGTGCTCCGATCCGGAGCTTGGGAAAGCCCTGGGTGCCACAGGATCCTGCGAGGATCCACTGCTGGGTGAAGGCACCAATTCGCAAACCTCTGAAATCCCCACCCGGGTGTTCTCCTTGGGAGCTGCTGAGCTTTGGGAAAGAGCAGGAACCAACTTTGCTTTGCATGGGCTGAGGCTCCTGCTGGGAGCACTCCCAGGAGTCTGGGGGAACTGGGATGAGTTCAGTTCAGGAGCTGGCATTGCTGGGAGGTTTTTACTCCYTGCTGTTTTTTGTAGGGATTGGGGTTCAAAAGAGGTGATGAGGTGAATGTGGTTAGTTTGATTAGGGATCAGACATCTCTCAGCATCTCGCTTCCCAAATGATGTCAATGTTAGAATTCCACGATTTTCCTCCCTCCTGCCTGCTGGAACCGATGATCACGGCTGCACGAAGGGTCTGGGATGTTYCCACTGAGGGATTTGGGAGGAGGAAAGATGGGAATGCTGAGCTGATCCCACACTGACAGCTTTGGACACGGGATGTGGCAGTGGGGACCGCGGAGTCAGGGCTGGGATGTCGCGGGGGGCACCTGAGCAGCTGGAAGCGCTCGGGATGGGCCGTGGAATTTCTCGGCAGCCCTGCAGCATCTCGGGTTTCCTCCAGAGAGACGGCSGAGGCAGAGCGGGGTCTGACCCGTCCTGGGAGGAGCCCAGGAGCCGCGTGGAGCAGTTAATTAGCAAAGAGCCACACCAAACTGTTAATTAGCCAGGAGCTGCAATTGGCCTCGTTCTGCGTCTGAGCCCGGCGGTACCGGGGTGGTCACAGGGGACCTGTCCCACATCAGCCACGGTGAACACGGCCACCAGCAGCTCAGGGGGACCCCAGCGAGGCCACCAGCACGGCTGGGACAGGCTGATGGCAGCGAGAGCTCTGCCACCCATCGGCCCAATTTGTAGAGGGATGTGTGAAACCCTAACAGTGCTTCATTAGACACGCTGATAATGAGCTCTGGGGCTTTGGGATCACCCCACTCGCACAAAGAATGGGGTGGGGGGGGTTATGGCAGATTTGAGCCCAGAAGAGTTCAGTTTCCAATGAAATTCCCAAGGGAATGGTGTGGGAAGGTAACAGAGCAGCGATAACATTTCCTGAACTCACACATGGCATCTCCTGAGGGACGCTCCTTGGGCAGCCCGAGCTCCTGGGAGGGAGGTTCCTCAACCAGAGGAGCCCAAAACAGAGTTTGGGAATCCTAGAATGGTTTMGGCTGGAAGGGAACTTAAAACCATCTCAGGGCAGGGACACCTCCCACTGTCCCAGGCTGCTCCCAGCCCCAATGTCCAGCCTGGCCTTGGGCACTGCCAGGGATCCAGGGGCAGCCACAGCTTCTCTGGGCACCCTGTGCCAGGGCCTGCCCACCCTCYCTGCCACTGTCACCTGCTGAGCTGACAGAAGCTGCCCAAGCACCTGCAGACCCCAAAAGGAGGGGCAGGAACACAGAGCTGACCTGGCACCCCTGGTTCCCACCCCCTCAATCCCCACTGCTGCCGAATATCCCGGGATGCTGCCTTACCTGGGAAGGGGGCTGCTCGGAGCACCCGAGGCCAGGGGGGTCCCATGGCGAATCCTCCCGTGTTTTAACCCAAAACTGGAGTAAAGGAGGGGATCCTGCAGAGCGGGGCTGGACAGGGCTCTGTGGGGCCGGGACACCGCAGGGCTGTGGTGCTCACAGCTGAAATGCCACGGTGGGACTGGCCCGGGGCTAATTTTAGCCCCTCTGGGGTTTTATCTTACCACTTCCATTCTTGGAAAGCTCCCCCTGGGTAAATATAGAGAGGGCAGCGGGGTGGGGGGAGGCTGGGACAGGTGCTGCAGGCTGCTCGACCCCTCTGAGTGCACACAAAGCTTTTTCTCCATTGTTTCCTCGCAGGAATCRCAGGGAACGGGGTGGTTTGGGGTCCCTGCCAGGACAGCACCGGCCTCTGCCTCACCTTGGCTGCTGCCAGGCACTCGAAYTCCCTCTTAACCCCTGTCCTGCCCTTCTTCCCCCTTTTCACAGTGAAACAAATGGCCATTTGCAACCTCCAAAAGGATTTATTAAACACCAGGCCAAAAGGCTCTGAAGATGGTSCAGATTGCCCACCTGAGCTGCTCTCAGCTGCACCTGCCAGGAGGAACCACAGSCAGGGCTTCCCGAGCTGGAACAGCACAGAGGAAGGCAGGAAAGCTCCYAGGGCAGAGCACAGGAGCAGGGAGCAGCACTGGGGCTCTTATCAAAAGCTGTCAGCCGGGAAGTGCAATCCTATTTTTTCCAGCTCCCGTTAAACCTTTTCCAAAGCCCTCGGTGGTGCAACAGGAATAGGCTGGCAGTTTGGGGCAGCCTTATCACGGCATGAGATAAGGAGAGAAACCTGAATCATCCAGCAGGGAAAGCTCCACTGCTGCAAGGAGTGAARTGTGGCATGGCCCCGCGTCACTGCCAGTTTGTGGCCCCACTGGGGAAGGCCTGGGAAGCAGGAAAATGGGTAAAATCGATTTTGAAAGGAATGAGAGAGCAATTCTTTACAAACAAACTGTGGCCTCTGCTGGGAGATAGGGCCAGACACTGACAGGTCAAAGGAGCARTGGGATGAACCATAAATTCCATGGGAATTCCACCAATTGACACAGACTGGTACTGACCCAAGGCTGTGCTAAATCTCTGCACTGAGAGAAAAAGAACAAAAACACACACACACAAAAAAAAAGGGGGGGGGTGTGCATATTAGATGGGGTCTGTATTAAAGGATTGGGGCAGTCTGTACCTCTCCAGTCCCTCAGCCAGTGGGAAGAGAGAGAGGGAAATGGGGCTGGGAAATTGGGATAAAAAGGAGGCTGCATCCTCAGCAGTTTGAGAGACCCCATGGAAATGTCCCATGGCCTCTCCCTTTATTCGAATAAAGTCACAGGACTCCTCTGTCTGCTTTTTGGACACGAACCTCTGGTGTTTGTGGATTAATTTTCCTCACAATTTGGTTTGGACTTTTGGCTTCCTCATTTTCCCTCTCCAAATTCACTCAAAAACAGCTGATTGCTTGACAAAGGTCAGTTCCCCAAAGTCAGCAGCAGGAATGGAATTACGGAGTGTTGTGTGGATGAACACTGGAGCAGGAGTGGGAGTGCAGGGGTCGCTTTCTGAGGGTCAGGAAGCTGCAGCCATGAAAGCCAAGCCTGGCTGGAAAGCCCTGCCACAAAACGCAGAAATCAAAGCAGCCATTAGAAGAGTGTTATAAAGGGAAAAAGGGAAAGCAGACAACAGGAGTGTTAGAAAATATGAAATGTAGGGAACTTGGAGATGAAAGGCAGATCCTTGAATGGCAAATTAATGATAAACTGCTTCTTCTTTTGTTGTTGCTGCTGCTGTGGAGTTGTTAASCAGGAAAGATCTTAGGAATGGGAGCAGCTCCGTGGTGAGGAGCAGATTAAACCCAGTACTGAGGAGGCAAAGCCGAGATCCCCCAGCTGGATCCCACAGAGCAGSAACCAGTCCCATCCATCCATTCCCAGCAGCAGAGCCAGACCAAGCCCAGGGGAGAGCTGACAGAAGGCCTGACCCATTTGGGATAAACTTCCCAAACTTCCAGCTCCAGGGAAGGCTGAGGAGCCAGGAAAAGCCTCCCCTTCTGCCCCAGCCAGGGGATGACCTGGCCTCTGCCCCGGCCAGAGCGACTCTTTATCAGCTCTCTGTTAATTGGGGAAGAATTAGAGGGCAACAGGGTATTTAATGCCAGTCAATGAGGTTTTTTGGGAAGGYAAATCCTGTCCAGAGTTGCTTCCATTAAAGAGATTAGAGTTATTAAGGCAGCTGAAGAGAGCTAATGAGCTTGTGGA